GGTGCTAATTGGTTGCTTTTTTAAAAAAGCACTACTTAAGCACAGGCAAACAGAGTAAGACAGCGTGAGTGGAGTTAATGAGGGCTTAGCAAAAAACCAAAAAAAAAAAAAAGAAAAAAAGAAGCAAACCCCCCCCCAAAAAAAAAAAAAAAAAAAAAAACAACAAACCAAAGAAACCACCACACTATCCCACTAAAACCAACCAATCTCAAAACCTAAACCTAAACTAACTCTTGTTGTTCAAAACTACAACCAAGAAGCAAAATGACTGCATGAGGGAAATGGCTGTGAGGGTTTGAGTTTAGGGAGAGAAAGGGACAATTCCAGCACTAAGTGAATGCCCACACTTAGTTCAGCGTCCTTGGCATCTTTTAATTTTTTTTAAGTGCTGCCATCAGAGTGGTAAAGTTGTTGTCACTAAATCTGGAGCCGGAGGTCCTGCCTTTGCCATACCCAAATGCATTTCCTAAAAAAGGGTTTGCATAACATTAAATACTCCGTATTTTCCATGTATTCTGTTGGTGGGTTGATACTAGCCCCTGTTTTTCAAGACCAATTCTGTAGTTCCCAGCTCCTGAGAGTATTCTGAGTGCTAAAGGAAAATACAAATAGACCTTGCTGTATTGCTGGTGTTGCCTAACAAGACGCAGAAATAATTCTGTGAGCTGTTTGAAGGCGACACTGCAAATTCATGTGTAAAACACAATCCTCTGCTGTTTCCAAATTTCTTTTTATATGCAGTCTAGGCACACGTGGGCACAGGATGCTTTTTCAGGCTGTTTGTCCAGGTAAGCAACACCTTTAAGGCTCCAGGAAGAGGCTGCCTAACGATGACAGGTTCAGAGTCTCTGGCACAGGCTCAGGACCAACAATCAACTCTCGAAATTCTTCAAAATCCAGCAGCTAAGCATTTTCCTATTGGAGGAAAAGAGGAAAGTGGAGCAGAAACTTCATCAGTCAGCTCAAGAAGACAATGAACTTTTCAGTAAGACGAGTTCGATAATCTGTTTATGTAGATGAGCAATAAAGTGTCAGGGCTCCTCCTTTCCTGAATTGTTTTTTTTGTCTGTGCACAGAAAACCCAATCAGTTTACAAACAGCGAGTTCCTTGGGTTTGTATTTATGCTTGGTAACTTGTAGCTCTACTCACATTCTGAACTGGATTATTTTCCGTTTAATGCATGCTTTTCTTTTGGTTGTCACCAAAAATGAGAGATTTCCTGCTGGCTGCTAGAAAGAAATTTCCGAGAGAGCAAAGTTACAACTGTACCTCCGAATGGGTGCCCACAGTCATCCAGCTACAGCACAGCCAAGAAAGATGCAAAACTGGAAACCCTGCTTTTTCCTGCAGAGGCAGAGAGCAAGTCAGTGGTTGCAAAGCTCCTGGAGTGCCATGTGCCAAATCACCTTTGTAATCAGCATTCTGATGAGACCTGAGTGCGTTTTCAGGCCATCTCATCTGTGGCTCCTACCATCAGGGGCCAATAAATCTCATATTTTACCTCATAGGGAATTTGGCAGCTATCCCTGCAGGACAGGTGGCAGATGGCAGCATATCCATCAATTGCTGCCATCAATAAAGCTGGAGAAAGCAAGCAGCAGAGGAGAGGCTAGGAAGTTAAATCCCCCTGCCTTTCCCTGTCCTCTTTCCTGCTGCTTTGTCTTAGTATGAAAATGGCTTTTCCTCAGTTTTGGTCACTCTGGAAATGTTACTTCAATAAAAATTCACATGGTGTAATGTTTAATAGGTTTACGAATTTCGTTTGAAGGCAAAAAGCACAAGGGGAGACAGCAAAGGACTTGGTGTGGGTGTGTCAGTGGGTGTGTCTATTTTGCCCGGAATTCCCCAGGTTTCTTCTACGTGATATTTCCGAGAGCTCTTCTCAATAAAACTCAATTGAAGGGGACTTCCTCTGACTTATTCTTTTGAGTAGCAATCCACTGAGGACTTCCTGCTCACATACAGAAACAGAGAAAAGTGGCAGTGATGTGCTTGCACTGAAAATGATCTGGATGGTTCTCTGTTTATCAAGAGATGCATTCGGGATCATGACCTATATTGCCCTCCCCACGGAGACCGGGACATGTAGGCTTTAGAGAAACAATAAGAACATGGAAACTTGGCTAGAGCTGAAGGAAGGCCTGTAGTCAACAGAGAGAGAAATGTGCTGGAGAAAGACAGCTTTAAATCTGTTTGGCTCATCCCTGTTTGAGATAAACATGAATGGCTCAATTGTTCATTTTAATAAAATTCAAATTAAAAAGAGCCATCCAGCACCACAGAAGGACAGGTTAGAAGGGGGTCTCTCACTGAAGAGGAAAGTGAGGATGGTTTAGCTTCATTCCATCCCATGATGGCCTAACTCTGGTCACTATCAAAACAGTAATTGCCACCATGAGGCCTCCAAATTTAGATTAAGGCATTTGATTTTCCCAGGCATGTTAAGCTCTTTGCAGTTCCTTTTGTGGATTTAGCCACCCAATTGATGCATCCTTTTGAAATCTAGCCTCTTTTATGAAGCAGGCTGGGGAAGGCATGATGCCCTTTATTAACAGATGCCCACTCACTATTTGTAAGATTTAGCCTTGATCCAGGAATAAATATCAAATTGTGTCTCAAACAAAAACCAACCATATAACCTGTAACAGCATCCTCAAAAATCTCGTGTATAGAGGCTGTGGCCTTGTTGGCCTTCTCACCAGGTATTTGGCAGTTGGAAGAAAAGCAAAATATCCCCTAATACTTTGCATAAATTCTCCTTGCCACTGTTCAAACCTTTAACTTATTTAAGGCTATTACTTTTTTTTTTTCTTCTGAAAACCTGTGGGCAAAGAAGGTAAATTCCCTTCTGGATGTTTATTTGTTATCTTGGTTTGTTTCTTGTTTTTTTGGTTGGTGGCTTTTTTTGTGTGTGTTGGCTTGTTTTTGAATATTGTGAATGGCGTATGTTTTGCCAGCTCACCTTCAGCACAGTCTTACCCTTAACTGAAAATCCGACAGTTCATGTTTGAGAGAGCAGAGCGTTTCAATTTCCCCTGTGCAAACACGTGGCCGAATGCAAAATCACCTGCTTTTATGCCAAGGCTACACAGAAGAAAAACGGAGATCAGCTGGCCTCTAAAATTGCCCTGATATATACATCCACATATTTCCAAAAAGCATGGCACAAAGTTAGAGGTGCATGTGCTCCTGCCACAAGACTGCCCCAGCTGTTACAGAATATCCTGTGATATCCACTTTCCATACTCTCTAATATTCTTCAAGCACAGTGATCTCATTCCCAACCGTTCCTTACATCATACAGAACAAAACCATGCAAGAATTCGTTTTGAAAATATCAACGTGATTTACTAAATCCATCTATTTTGCCACAGATGAGCTGTTTGGCTATTTTATCCATGTCCATGGTATTTGTGTCTGAGATTTGCCCTGTCAAATCTCCCGTGGGATTAATTCCCAGAGTCTTAAGTCCCAGGAGTGGATTTCGTCCTGAGCTCTTGGAAGAGCTGTCTTGCTTTTCAGCGTGCTTAAATCCCCCAGGGTGATTCCACAGGCAGCAACCTCCGGGCAAGACAAACCTCGGGAGGAAAAGAAGACCCAGCACAGGGTGAGTGTGTCAGCAACGGCAGCTGACGCAAACAGCGACACCTTCACACCGGGAAGTCACGAAATCCATCAGTGCTGACCCAAGTATTTTGGTCTTGTCAAGCGTCATTGTTTTGGACTTCTCCTGACCTCACTTAGCACAACGATGCCACCGCCTGTAAGCTTTGTCTGCAGTATTCGCCGTGATAAGTAGCTCTGTAGGCATTTGTTTTCTCTCATCAAATCATTAAACGGTAATGCAGTTGTTAGTCCGCCTTGCCCAGTTCGAATACGTTTTGCAGCCAGTAACCATTCCCAGTTCATTAAGTGCCTGACCTCAGCATTAACACCCCCTCTGCTCGGGTTGCCTTGGAAACAAAGCTTCCTGTGCGTAATCCAAGCTTATCTAGCTCTTTATCCTACATGTGACCCTTAATTACTTGCTAAATTAGAATGGTTTTCTGAAAATCACAAGAGGAGGTTAATATGTTCTTCCAGAGCTGGTCAAGCTAAGATGACACTAAATTCACAGGGAATTCAAATTCCATGATCCCTGAAGGCGTCTCTTTCAGAAGGAAGATGAACTTTCCCAATGGGAGGCAGTGTGCCATGATAATGCTCCTGTCACTCACTTTCCTTGCCCTGCTTGTCCAGACCCAGCTTAATCCAGTGTGAACAACGGAGTAAGTAAATATCAGGTTGATTAATTATGGTGCAAGATTCAGTAACCACTTGTCTTGTGTAATTAACATTGTAATTGAAATTCAACAATACACTTCATACACAGATTGCTGGCCTAGGAGGAGGAGCAAGGGAGAATCTTCAAGGCTGGATGACAAGGAGATGAAGCACAGAAAACCGGGACTCAATATATTAATTGTCCTTTTTGAACTGTGGTACATTTCAAGAAATTCTTCTGCCAAAAAAGTGGGTTTTTTAAAGGCTGGATTGATGATCTTAAAGGTCTTTTCCAACCTTAATAATTCTATTATTCTAAAAAGAACAATTGTTACTTCCAGATGACTTGAAGTAGAGATGAAATGGGGTTGGATTGTTGAAATGTGGCTTAAAATTTCTGAAAGTCCACTTTCCCTTCACTGATTTGATAAACAGACACAATGAAAAAGGGTAATGCTCTCTAAGATGCCCAGTGCTTTTCCTATCCATTGTTTCCAGTGACAACTCAAGAACAGTGAGTCTTGGGCTTCAATGAGTGGCTTTAAAGCTGTGCTAAGGCTCAAATGCTAAGGCATGGTCTCAGGAAAAATCAAAACTAAAATCCTCTATGACCTCCACACAGCATTTAATTAACTGCATATATACTCAAGCACAACCAGTGCAAAAATCCCAGTCTGTTTCAGCATTCCCATCTCCTGTGACGCAGAAAATAATTCAGCAATAATTCAAGCAAAGGCTTGCTTTCAGGGATATTTATAAAAATCATGGACTGATCACTGCTATGGGAGGAGACCAGACAGCTCCTCTGGATATAGACACAGCCACTTGCATTTCTGCTCAAAATCCTCAAGTTCAACACAAGACACCTCAGAAGTTTATTAGCATAAGCAGTGGCTCTCCCCATACCTTTTTTCATTACTGGAGCCTCATTTGTTTTCCTTTTCTCTCCTCTGCCCTTTCCAGTGTGGGCTTGTTAATGTGTCCAAATGCTCAGAGCTCTGGAGGTTGAAAGAGAGATTTATAGTTACTGTGTGTTCACAGAGGTTTTGACTTCACTGACGAGACTTATGGAAAATAGAATGACATTTTTATAAGAATAATGACAGAGAAATTAAACCAACTACTTCCAGGCAGAATTTGAGACAATGAAGGTATTTCATTTGTTAAAATTGTACAGAACTATGATTATACAGATTATCGTACTGTCAGTGCTCTCAGTCCCTGCCAATCCAATTGTTTCAGGTCAGTGTGCCATTTTCTGTTCTCTTTATTGAGCTTTCATTTCCCTGTCACTGGGTTTGAATTAAAATATAATTTTCAGGACAGAATTCAAGAAAGTCCTTACAAATAGGAAACATATTTTCTTTCCTCCACTGAGTTCATGCAGCAAAATAATTTGAAGAGACTTTACTTGAAGAGTCTAAAGTGCTAAATATCTATAATTTTGGGAGTCTCTGAATGTTTTCTTGCATTCTCACAGTAGATTGGAGGGCAACTTTCCACGCCTGGAAAGAATACTTTTCAAGGAGTTTCCATTTTGAAAGGAGGTTTTACAAATCCTCCATGCACAATAGCTAAGACAGTGTCTATGCCAATGGCTCTAAATGGCAAAATTTCAGCCTGCTTTCACCTGTGTGGGTGAGCGGATAAGAGCGAATTGTTTCAGGTCTTGTGCTTTTGGGTTTCCAGTCTCCTTCAGCGTGGTTCTGGTATTTTATTGGCGTCAATTCAGAGCCTACTGCCAAATGCAGGAAGCAGACAGGAGAGTGCATCATGCTGCTCTATTCGGACCTCTGGTGCACACACCATTTTATCCTCCTGAACGAATTCCAGAATTTTACCTCAAAAATCGCTTTCTAGATCTTTAAAGGACAGTAAAACAGCTGAGTTTCCTGTGTCTAGAAAGCTGTCAAGAAGAGACTCCCAATTCCCTTGATATCTCCCACATAAATGGTCTAAAAAAGCAAAATAGATTCATAAATCAGGGATGTTTTAGAATATTGTTGGATGGAAGATACTATACAAAACAAAACATCACGCACTTCCTTCTCTATAGAAACAAGTGTTAACTGATCAAGAACACTCAATATGTTTATATATAGATATTCTAAAATTTATCTCAGAAACATTTTGCTTGCCAAGTCTCATCTGGTCATATATTTGCTTACTCCTTTGTGTAGCTGAAAAAGAAGTGAGAATGTAAGGTTTTATTTTCATCCATGCTGAAGGAAATGTGTACCATTTTAGAAAAAGAACTTAATCTCTCCTGAATGCCTCCAAGATCATCCTCTTCTATGGTAGACTCTGAACCTACTTACTGAGTCTAACATTGCTCATACACGTAGATGAAGAGAAAAAGAAAGGATGTCAGAATCAAATGGGTACGAAAAATAGAACAAAACCCAAGGGTGGAAAGAAACTGAAAAGAAAAACCACCGCCCCTGATAATTATTTTATTCTCCAAGAAGGCTGTAAGACAGGCTGCTAAACGAAGAGAATGAAAAAGGAAGCTCTTAACTGTTGGTTCAGTGCTTGATTTAACTGTGAGACAAGCCCTGACCCTGCTCTGTGACGCTGCACACTGACACAGCCGTTTTCCCATCTTGGCAATGTCGGGGGCTCTCCCCATCTGCCACCACTGTCACCTGTCAGGTCGGGGCCTGCCTGTCACCTCAGGTTTGTTCTGCTCACCTCCGCGGAAGATTGGCCTCTCATGTTGGGAGAAACTGGGTGGATTTTCCTGCGGGACTTCCGACTACTCTGCAAATGAATTGAAAAGAGCCCGTGGAAGTGTGGTCTTTTCTAAGAAAGTAATATTGAGGGGAAAGAACAGATTGTTTCTCTTTCAGACATTCTCTGCACTGTTAGCGACTCGCAGCTGTCCGAGAGGCCGCACGAACCCGGCGGACCCGCACACCAGCTAACAGCGCGCGGCTCCTCGCACCCGGGCCAGCTCGGAAATTCGCTGAGAGGCACCGGGATGGGGAGCAAGCTCCGACCGTGCCCGGTTGCCCGGCCCGCTCCCCGCCCGGCTCCCCCTCTTCACGCCGCCCTCACACCGCCCTCAGCCCGGCCCGGTTCCCGCCCTCACCTCGGCCCCGCCTCTCTCCCCGCCCCGCGCGCGCCCGCCCCGGCGCTCACCCAATCAGAGGCCGCCGCGCTGGCCCAGTGTATCGGCCCGCAGCTCGGCCAAGATGGTGGCGCTGCTCGCCCCGTTAGTGCTCCTGCTCGCCCTCGGCCGCCCGGCCGTCTCCGGCGCGCAGGCCACGGAGGGCGCGGCGGCTGCGCCGCATCGGCGCTTCGAGTACAAGTACAGCTTCAAGGGGCCGCACCTGGTGCAGGCGGACGGCACGGTGCCGTTCTGGGTGCACACAGGCAGTAAGTGCCAGGCGGGGGTGGCGGGGCCGGGCTGAGGCAGCAGTGTCCGGTCGGGGGACGCGGGGTCTCGGGGAGAAGCCGAGGGCGAAGCTGGCCCTGCGTGCCGTCCCCTCGGCGCCAGAGGCGCGTCCCGCGTGGCACCAGAGGCGCAGAGGAGATGCTGCGGTGGCGGGGAAGTGGCCGGGCCCGCCGGGCTCCCACCCACGGCCCTCCTGGTGTGGCGGCTGCGGGCCCTGGGCAGGGGACTCGTGGCGCTGCCGGGAAGTGCTGATGTGTCTCTGCCGCCGCGGTCGAGGTCGGCCCGGGCTGTGCTGCCAGAAAAACTGTTGGGTTTCATCGTCTCAAAGCTCGAAATGCAAAGTGTGCCTCGGCGAGTAAGACTTGGTTGAACAACATCTGTGCAGTTTCTGTGCGCTCTGGGTTAAGGGTTCCGCTGTGCTCCGAAAGGCTTGTTGCCCTTCCTGAGTGTCCCGCCTTGAGAAAGGAGTTTGTTGACAGTTACAGTTCCACACTCGCACAGTTTCTCTGCAGTAGCTTCTGCTGTGGTTTTGGGTTTTGTCGGGCTTTAGTTGCTATTACTTAACTCTTAAATCTAACTTTTTTACTTGACATTATGCTACAAGTGACGTGAAGGAAACAGTCTACGGATGAGGTTTTTGCCCTTGCTTTTTCAAGAAAATAATCCCTAAAAAATACGTTTAATGCAAGGAAATTAATCTCTCTCTGAATGTAGCCTATTGGTTTTTTACACTGCTAAACTCTTGTTTCCTTTCTAGATGCCATCCCAAGTGCAGATCAGATCCGTATAACAACCTCCTTGAAAAGCCAGAAAGGCTCAGTATGGACGAAAAACAAATCAATATTTCAGTATTGGGAAGTGGAAGTGACCTTTCGAGTTACAGGAAGAGGCCGTATTGGAGCTGATGGATTGGTAGGAGCAGTTTCATCTAACTGAGAAAAATAAATGTACTTTAAAAGTCTATCTTAACTCAAGACTTTTTGCTTTCTTCATAGGCAATTTGGTTTACAGAAGAGCAAGGCTTGGAAGGTCCTGTTTTTGGGGCAGCTGATAAATGGAATGGTGTTGGAATTTTCTTTGATTCATTTGACAATGATGCAAAGGTTGGTTGGAAGGAAACTCTTCTAGAAAAGATGACAAATAAATTTTCTGCCTGTTGAGGAAAAAAACGGGATATTATTTTCCTACTCCTCCCCTCTTTCATATGAAAGGGATAAAATAAAACAGTCACATTTCCCTTATACTGGAAACATCAATTTCTACGTGTGTCTTCAGAGATGCTCTTTTTATTGGAAGAATTCTGCCTTGAGTAGCTCAGCAGCAAAGATTTTGTAGCAGATGAGGATGACAATTGCTGCTTTCAATTCTCAGTTTTCCAGTCCAGAATGATCCTGAAACTTAAATAATACATAGTAGGTCTGATTTGGTACTTTTGTTTTCCCTGCACAACTTTGGCTTGCTTTTAGACATTTTAGACTGATTTTAGTAGTAGGCTGTCAGAGATGTTGCTGATATTTCCCTTCAAATTAAACTAATCCATTTGTGTGCCATTTCTTTCCCTAGAAAAACAATCCTGGAGTGATTGTTGTAGGCAACAATGGAAAGCTGCTGTATGACCATCAGAAGTAAGTTTATTTTTAGTGTTGTTGCTGAATGCTTGCTTTTGAATGATGAAATGTTCCATAAAACCCTTGGAGAAGCAATATAAAGGCTTCTTTCATGTGAAACTTTGTTGTTTCATTTACATTTGAGGGTTTCTATTTGTTAAAACACTGCTTTGGCAGAAACAGCAGAGAAATTGGCAAGTGATGGATATTGAAGTTGCATATGCCCTTTGGGATGGATGAACTCAGAGAAATATAGGTACAGTACAGACTGCTGCTTGTGAGGATCCTCCACAAACAGCTAATAATTGGCAGGAGTGACTAACTGGAAGCTAATTGCTGTTATTGTAATTAGTTGCCTTAATTTTGATTTCTGATTGTTTATCAACAGCACAATGAACATCTTTTTGTATTTTGGAGAGAAGAGGTGTCTAGCTCTACAGCTCATTTCCATCTAGGTTCCCAGGTGCAGGAATATATCTGAAAATTATATCTTAGGCTGTATATTAGAAAAGAGGTTTCCCCATTGCTGCATTCCCTCTGCATTGTGTCCTGTGTACTGCATGCAGTACTGGAGATCTCTGCAGAAAGCTCGGTGCAAGTACAGAACTGCCTTGGAAAAGCTTGCAGATTGAAAAGCTGGGATGAGGTTGCTTAGTGAGAGTCAGACCCTTTTTGGGTCCAGTTGATTAATTATAACACAGGGTTTTATTGATACTCTCTTTTTGCACAGTGATGGATCCACACAAGCACTGGCATCCTGTCAGAGGGACTTTAGGAACAAGCCCTATCCTGTGCGAGTCAAGATCACATACTACCAAAAAACACTGACTGTAAGTCTGAAATAGCAGAATTGCCTGTCTTCCTCAGCTTCTTAAATGTGAGACTGGCTTCTCACAGAGTTGCAGCAAATATGTCAGTTCCAGTGTTGGAAATGGGGAGCTTGGCAGCAGAGCTTGGAAGGAGGTGCTGTGTTTAAATGTTACACAGGTTCTTTTGGCTGTATTAGAATGCAGGTATTGCTGATTTTGCTAACGTGACTTAGGAGGCAGTCATGCCAACACACTCATAATGTGCTCATACCCTGCCATTGCTCTTGACTTGCCTGGAGAGGTGTCCCAAAGTCGGGATCTGTTTAAGCTACAGGTGACTGAGCAGCTCCTGAACTTGGTATTTCTTAAGCTGATCTAAGAGTTGCAGAGGGGTTTGTTGCTGATTTTTGAAGTAGAGGTTCTTGAGATATGGCTAAAAACCGAATACATTTAACAGTTGATTTAAATTTTCTACTTGAGGCTTCTCACCTCCAAAAAATTGTAGGGCTTTGAAGACTAAAGGTTAAAAACCACTGGTATAAGGGAGTCTTTAAGACTTCTTAAATACTATTCAGCTGATTGTGAATTCCTTCTAGGTAAAGAGAGAAAAATACTAATGTGGTGCCAGGTTGTCAAAACTACAGTGTGAGTTTGTTGGCTTCTGATTCCTTCTGGAAAGGTGCTGTTCATATATTCACAGGTAGCACCTGTAAAGTGCAGAGCTATCGTTTTGTAGTAGAAGTTTCTCTAAAAGTAAACATGACTGTGTAGAAGAGGGCAGACCTTGTACTGTGTTGTAATGGGAAAAGCTGCCTGTCACTCTTGAATGAAAGTTAAACTTCAGCCTCCAAGACTGCTCTATTTTCACCTGGCCCTGATGCCTCCTCTAGGAACTCTTCTGTCCCAGATGGTGCTGTGAAACTTAGCAGTTCTCTCTTTCTCTGGGGATGCATTTGCAGAATCTCCCTAAGCTTTGAATCAGAGCTGCAAGGGATGACTGGTGTAGATCAGGTCTGTGTTGCCCAGAACCTTCTTAGGATGTGGACTTTTGCAAACAGAATGCTTATGTAAAATGTTGGTAAAATGTCTCTTTCAGAAAATAAATAGTTTTTTTGTTTCCCACATGAGCTGCTGAGTTACCCACTAAGTTGTATTTTGTGAGCATTGCTGCAAACTGACGAAAAAATTAACACAAATGTGGTTAAAATCCTAAATGCTTGTCCTTTTAGGTATTAATTAATAATGGTTTTACTCCGGATAAAGAGGACTATGAATTCTGTGCCAAAGTGGATGATATGGTGTTGCCATCACAAGGGTACTTTGGAATATCTGCAGCCACAGGGGGACTTGCAGGTAAGAAATGTTAAAAATTTTGGCAAATGCTGTGGGAACTTGCAAGGCTTGCAAGAGAGGTTGGTTGAGTGGTTGGGTTTTTACTACTAGTGTTGATCCATTATACCAATTTTTGACCATGATGATATAATTAATCCTCTTGCAGTCCCAAATTACTGATATGCTCATGATATGACTCCAGCTAAAGAATTTTGGGGTTTTCCTGACAAATCCCCTGTATAGTCTGATTCCCCACTGCACCAGCTCTTGGGAGGATGCTGTTTTTTGAAGATCCTTTGCAAGTGGAAGATTGGCTTGGGAATTACAGACATTTGTAAGGTGGTTTTATTTTGTTTGTTGAATACAGATGACCATGATGTGCTGTCATTTCTGACCTTCCAGCTGACTGAGCCTGGGAAGGAAGCAGTAAGCATTTTTATGCATGATTAATAAAATATTTTATTGTGCATGTTAGTCTATGTGCAGCACCAGATTATGTTATTTCCTCTTTCCACACATGGCATTCATTGTTTCACAATTTTGGCATCTAGCTGTGCTGTTATCTGGTTTAGAAAAATTAAATTAATATTGTAATGTTTCAGTAATATTTGTCATTAATATTCTCAAGACCAGAATTCTGGAAGCACCACTCAAGCAACAAAACTCGTGATGTTAAATCAAACCACGCAGTGTTACAAAGTACATTTTCATTTGGAAGTGGGCAAATATCTGTTCTCACTTTCAGTTTTACCTGCTTAATGATTCTATACTGCTGTGCTGCCCTGAAACAAGACAACTGCTAAACAGCATTTATCCTTGTAAAACTTGTTTTAATTTTCTATTTGATCTCCATGAGAATGTGTGGTTTTTCACTTGAGCTAAATGTACGAATGTGCTGCAGTAATTTTGTTACATGTTCACGTATGAAATCTGAACAGCTTTGCTACAGTCAGTTGTGTTAAGAGTGGGGGAGAACATGAGAAAAATCTCACATGTGCCCTTCCCTCTAATAATGTTTTAAAGCCAACACCAGATGCAGAAATCCCTCAGAAAGATAAAGAGAAGTATCAGGAAGAGTTTGAACATTTCCAGCAAGAATTGGATAAGAAGAAGGAAGAATTTCAAAGGGAACATCCTGATGTGCAAGGACAGCCAGGCAAGTTATTTGAGCTATTTTTCAGTTGTCCAGGAAAACATTTGTTTTCCAGGATGTCCAGAACTAGGGATACTCTGGCTGATCTTGCTAAGGTCCCACTGATGTTACTCAAATTATTTTTAAATCTTTAGAAACAGCAAACACATTTCAGTAAAGTTATTCTGATGGTGCTTGGATTGAGAACAAAATGAATGACTGGAAACGTGCTGGGAATTAGGAACAGCAGAAGGGAGAGAAGGTCAAAGTGGTGATTAAGAAAACATGGCCTTTTTTCATTATTTAAAGGACATCTTTTTGGTCTGTTTCTGCACATTCACAGAGAATTTTTTTAAAGGTGGGCTAGTGCATATCTTGGAACACGTGCTTACCATGGAAAAGCTTTTTCAGGCTTGCCTAATGCTGGGCAGACACGAACCTGATTATTTGAAAATATAATGGAAGCCATTTGTTGCTTCTGTGGATTTTAATGGCTGTGTTTGGCTGCACATACACTGGGAATGTACTTCGGGCATCTAGACGGGAAATTTCAGGTTGTCATCTTTATTGCTCAGTGGTAAGTTATGACTGTTCTAAAGGTCCCAGACGTTATTTTGATCTGCATTTTTGAGATACAGTTCAACGTTTCTGTGATAAGAAATAATCCCTTTGCCCCAGAGTCTTTTGGACTTTGGGATGGTGAAGTTGTAGGAGAAGGTAGATAGATGTGAATATGTTAAGGGAGCAAGAAGAATGATCCAGAGCAACTTGTGAGGAAGGTGCACCTGTGTAAGAGCCCCCTGTGCTTTTCTCTCAGCAGCAGATGATGTTTTTGAAACCGTGAGTGATCGGGAGCTGAGGCAAATCTTTGAGGGGCAGAATCGAATTCACCTGGAAATCAAACAGCTGAACAGGCAGCTGGATATGATTCTGGATGAGCAGAGGAAATACGTGTCTGCAGTCACAGAGGAGATTGCCAAAAGAGGAGCTGGGTTTCCAGGTCAGCAGGGACAGGTAAATAAAATCCGTGGTGATTCAGAGCCCAGCCTGATTTCAGCACTGGGATCCATTTATTTTTTCCAAGATATGTTGATCTTTGTCCTCCCCCTGCCCCTACCAGGTTTCCCAGCAAGAGATAGACACAGTTGTGAAAACCCAAGAAGAGGTCATTAGACAAGTAAAGGAAATAAGGTAAACACCTTCCAAATATTATGGCTGTGTTTTGGATTTTATGATTTCCATTTAAATCCCGTGTATTATTTCAGTTTCATAAACTTGATGTTTGTGTCAGTTCCTTAGTGAAGACTCCCTGCATATATTTAATTTCTGTAAAAAAGTCAGTTCATGCCTCAAGGATTGCTAAGCACCCTAATTTTGTAAAGAAATGTTAAAATTAAATTTTTTAAAAAGCGTCTCTTTTTTATCATGAAATTCCACTTCAACAGGTAAGTTCAGCCCCTTTGAAAACAGTGAAGTAAAGCCCTTATCTTGAAGGTGCTGTACTGCTAAAATAGATCTGTGAAGATGCTTGTGTTTGATGGGGATGTCTCAATACTTCTTTTAAGAAGTTTTACTGTTGCTGTCTTAATCAGGAATGGCTTTAAGCTGGTTTAGCCCTTCATTTGTAGCATTCCTTAACTTGTATTAAAAAAAAAAAAAAAGAGAAAAACAATTCCTTCAGTTGTGCTTTTTTCCCCCTGTATTGGTTTAAGGTCTGCTCTTGTGATTTATCTAAGTAGGTCAGTTTTTTGTAGAATGAAGATTAGTGTGCTTCCATTTTTGCACTTGTTCTTCCACAGAAGCTTCTGTGTTAATATTCTTGACAAATCTTTATACCTTGCAAGCAAATTAGATTTTCTTGTTAACGTTGGCACTGTGCCCTTTTAGTGACTACTTACGAGCTCGGAGTTTGCGTAAGTGCATCCTAATACCTTTCTTAGATTAGAGAAATGCTTTATTTAGAGAGAAAAATAAACAGGCCCTTGGTGCATCACTTGTCATCCCGCAGGAAAAGGACTTAGGGGCCGAGCAATTTTCTTGGAAGACTGTGGATTTCTTAATCACCTGATTACCAAAGAATCCTGCATGTTCCTACAATAGAAACTGTCAGCAGGGTGTTATTAATGCAGAAGTCAATGTAAATTCCATTTGATACAGTCTGTGTCTATTAAGGGGAGTTATTTTGTCTGGGGAAGGTGGGTGTGCAGGTTTCTGTTCATTAGGTAGAGATGGTTCTGTTAGGGGGGAGAAAAGCCAAGTGAGTGTCCCACTCGTGTTGTAACACGGTGAGCTGTGTGGAAAGACAGAATTACTATCAGTGGTCATTAGGCACTGGGCATGTAGGTTTATTTAAGGTAAAAGCTTCCAGTGACACATTTGCTTCTAAAATACATTGTTATAACACTAATTGCAAGTCCAGGGAAATGAAACATTGCTGACCACTCTACAGAGAGCTAGGAGTGTTCCATGAAAGCACTGAATTACACTCCCATCTGAACCAAGTGGAAAGTTTTAAGTAAATTAAAAAGAAATCCAAAGGCATACATTTTGATTGTCTATTCTGTTAATAATGAAAAGATTATCATTCACATGATAAATATTTTAGCTGTAGAATAATCCTCTTTGCAAGTCAAAAGAAACAACACAGTAGGGGAAAATTATATAAACATATTGATTAGAGATTAAAGGTTTTTTTTGCTCATTGACTAGTTTACTTCAAACCAAATTAGTTATGAAACTTCAGCTTTTTCTGGATTTAATTTCATTTGTTGTAGAAACAAAATGAATTCACAATAACACAATATTAAGTATTATGACAATGCACATGGGAATTGAATTCCACATATAAATGGTAATCATGAAACAAGGATGTATCTAAATCTTTTCTTATCCCTAAAGCCTCTTCCTTGTTTTTATTTCTTACATGACAGCTTTTATTTGTTTTTTTGTTTATTTATTTATTTATTTTTCAAACTGCTTTCGAGTTTCTTCCAAGATTGCATTAAACTCTGCTGATCCTAAAGCCTTGGCAGGCATCTCAGACAGAACTCTTGTTCTACAGCCCTCATCAGTCAGGCAGGCAAAGCAGATGTCTGGCAACAGAAAATTTGCTAGTTCTTATTCTCAGCGTGACTGAGAGATGGAGCACTCCACCAACGGCAGCTGTCTACACAATTAACTGTTTTTAAAAATCACAGTTTGACTAAAGGATTATTTCTTGAGAGGTGTTCTTGAAAGCTAGTAAAATTTGCTGCCTTTTGGTGCCACTGTATATTTCAGCCTGATTCTAATGAACTGAAAGCTGTCCAGAATAACTGGTGTTTGTAGAAAAGCTGGTGTGTGTTGAGAGCTGGTTTGTTTCTTGTCTCGTTTCAGAAGTTCTGTGACTGATGCTCTGAGATCCATCAGTGGGGCTCAACATGCTGGTTCTGCTGGAGTCTATGAAACAACTCAGCACTTCAATGACATCAAGGAGCACCTTCACGTGGTCAAGAGGGACATAGAGCATTTGGTACAACGCAACACGGTAATTTCTGTGCTGGGAGTGTAGAGCATGAGTGTAACACAGCTTTCTTTGGCTCTTAGTGAAAAGCTGGGATGAGCCAGCGTGCAATTTAGGGAGCAATTAATCCTTCATTAAGCTGCTTCGCTAAAACTATGCTGCCTTGACCTAACTGCATGATCTGGGTCTTGATGAGAAGTTTTGCACAAAGAGCATGATTTTTAGTCTAATTTCCTGTGGAAACAAGGTCAAGCAATTAAGTTTTCTGGGTGCCTTTTTTTTTGTGTTTGTCCCCCTACTTAACAGCTCTATACAGAGGAGATTCTGTGGTGCTTCTGCACACAAGGGAGAGCTTTAATCAGGGGAAACTCAGGCAGGCTCTGCTTAAGGCTCCTTAAAGCAAAAAAATGACTGTGTTCCCATTCAGGAGTACGTTAGTCTAGCCTAGGTAGCAATTAAGCTCAATTAGCTTATGATCCTTAGGAGGTCCTTGATTAATTCACCATCTTTATGTATTCTTTCCCGTATAACCATCGATTTAACATCAGGCCATTGGTCTGAGAAATGTAAAGGTGGAAGGGGAGAATGAGATGAGGAGTAGGAGAGGAATGACAGTACTCTGAAAAATAATCTGTCTTCTGCTTGTGCTCTGATATTTACACCACATTGCAAAGCCCTGTTTTGTAAGTCTTTTGATGGGATGTCTTGTTTGCTCTTTTCTTGATTTTCAGCCATCCAGTGAGAAACAAAAGTGTCCAGAGTTGCCACCATTTCCATCCTGCTTATCTACAATGCATTTCTTCATATTTGTGGCAGTGCAAAGTGTGTTATTCATTGGTTATGTCATGTATAGGTAAGTCCTGTGTGGCTGGAAGACAGCAGGGCAGATGGTTTTAGAACTGCTGACTGATAATGCCGTTGGGTGTCATTGTGTTAATCTTGTTAAAACAAGCAATCATTCAGATTGGAAGAGACCTTGGCAGGTCTTCAGTTCAATCTTCTGCTGCAAATGGGGTCCACACTGAATTCAGACAGGGTTACTTGGGATTTAAACTGGTCAGGTCTTCAAAACCTCTAAGAAAGCAAAATTTACCACTGTCCCAGAACCCCCTGGAAATATTGAATTATCATAATGAAGTTTGATTTGTTCTACCTCCACTCACCTACCATGTATCAAGTGGGAACCTGACCTATATCAATTTTCAACCTGACTGTTGCATCTTTTTTTTTTCTTTTTTTTTTTTTCTTTTTTTCATCTAAGCTAATTGGGATGGTCTTTCTGTTCTCTTCCCCCTCATTGTGATGCCATAATGTTGAAATCCTATTTGCATTGATGAAAAGGACTACCCCCATGCTTGGCAGTCTTTTTGCCATCAGCTGGAATGGTGATTTCCAGGACAAACAGTTCTTTGTGATGCATTTGTAGTCCCAGCACCTGGATATGGTTGATCCACAGTGTCTGAATCCACTAAGAAAATTAATGATCTGTGCCAGAGGGAAAAGGAAATCCCACTAAAGTCAATTTTTTCCCTGCTTAGTTGCATAGGTTTCCTTTTCTAATATGATATTTAGGCCTATCAGATGCTAAGAAGCTTCAGAAAATGTTCAAGAGTATTTTAAAAGTCAGTTTGTTTGTTCCTTTGTTGTTTCTGGCTTGTGTCCAGAATGTGGGGTTGTTTGTTTTTTTTTTTTTCCTTTCGTATCTGATGCAAAATTGGAACTACAGTGATGCTACCCCATGTCTTTCTCAATAGAAAAAATTATGTTCTCTTCCTGTGATATGACTTATATTTTCTCTAAGTCTTTATTGATAAGGAATGGAATCTTCTAATCCTCAAATAAATGAACATTTAAAGCAGTTAGCTAGTTTCAAATTAAAAAGACTTGAAGAATTCTTTTCTGCCTTTTCTTTCAGGAGCCAACAAGAGGCAGCAGCCAAAAAGTTCTTTTGATGACCTATTCCGTTTGTGTGTACATAACAGCAGTCTGTATGCACAGAAAATTCTACACTTCTGTAAATGAGGGAAATTTTAGTGTTGGATATACTTCAATATTATAAATTATTGAATTTTGCTAAATAAAATGAGTTCTCATTTAAAGTCTTGATGCTAAAACCAGGGAGCAAATGGTGGATGGGGGAAGACTGTGCAGGACCTATCTAGGTCTGTATTTTCAGCTGACTTTTTCCTAAATACTGAAAGGCAAACTCCCCACGCCTCTGCTGTTGTTAAGATTCCAGAAGAGGAGCTGAAACACCCAGGCTTGGTGTTTGTTCAGAGTGTGAATTGCAGAGGGAGGATTTCTACAGAAAACTTGCTATTAAGTGTCCTGACACAGCAGTCAAAAAAAAAAAATAAAAGAAAAAGAAGGTTAAAAAATCCCAAACCTCAAAGAACCGTTCTTTTGTGGGATTTGTTGTTGTTCTGGGTTTTTTTTGGTGGGCAAAAATTTATTAGAAACATTTTATTTGTTTACCACTTGAATCTAACAGTATAAGAATATTTTAGTTAGTTCCTATTTCAACAGTTTTTAATATGTGGACACAAAGACAGGCCTTTAAGACCCTGACTCTTGATACCTGATGTAAAAATCCAATTATACAGAACATGCAAAGAAAGGCTTCTCTCTCTGTTTGGCAGTTTGATTTGGGGCAGTGAGAAAAAATGTGATAAAGTAGTTTCTTCAAGTATATTGTGGGGCTAATTTCTTTTTTCATAGTTTCAAATCTGTCTGTCATTTTTTGGGGGAGATTTCTAGATCTTTTCCAGCAAAGATGATTGCTTTATCCATCTTCCAATCTGATTGTATCAAGGATATGTTTAGTATGTGAATTTGTCTTTACTTTTCTAAAGCCATCTCGTATCTTTCATGTATCAAGTACAGATGCTTTGATTTAAATCTTGCTGTGAGTATTGTGAAGTACAGGTGTTGAGTGTTAACCCATTTCTTCACAAACTTGCTTCAGACATGTTTGTTAATCTGTAGAACCAGTATTTTGTGTCAATTCCTGCTTGGATATCAAAAGCATAAGACTGTACATGTGATTTTGATTTTTTTATCAAGTGAACATTTGCTTCGGGAAAGGAAGAGAGCAGAGGGCCCAACTTAGGAATGTGAAATTAATTAAGTTTGCCTTGTTTACATATCTGTGGTAACTTTGTCCTTGAGTTTTATGTAGAATTAGAATCAGTATTTCTGTGGTTTTCGAAATTCTATAAAATACACAAATGCATCAGGATATTTCACTTAGAAGTGTTAATTTGTTTGTCTGAATCTGCAAAAATTACCTTTAATATGACTACTCCTGTTGCATTTCTACAGTCTGCTCCCTTGGAGTGCAACATGCTGCCAAATTCTCTGTGATGATGAAAACTTCAGTATTGTGCCTGTCAGTTTGGAGAAATGATAAATCTATGCAATATCTTTTGTTATTTCAAATACAGTGTCCAAAAAGTGAATGTCTGTGCTATACTAAGAAAATGACAATGGCTGCACACCAATTAACACATCTGCAGTATGGGGGATACTGCAAGTGGTATAGCTCTATAGATTGATTTCTAAATTTGAGCAGGTTTTGCTGTACTAATGAGATAAACTACTGCCTCAGGCTAATCAATGAATAAACAACTTTTCAGATGAAGCAGAATAACAGATTGGAATTTATCTCTTCAGTTCTTTCAACACCAGCAAATATTTCCAGGTGCCTTGAGTCTAAGCTATTACAACTGTGACTCTTGTAGTGAAGCTTAATATATTTTCTTAAACGGTTCTGAAATTGTACAGTGGTGTTTCAGTTGCAGAGCTTCTTGCATCAGTGCAATATCCAAACAGAACTCCTTCTCTCACAGCAGGCTTTGCAAAACCCCTTATGCTGAAAGTATTTGGATACATATCTGGCAGAATGAGGAGCAATTCTGATGTGTCCGTTGGAATGAGAGGAGGTTGGAATGGATTTTTGTTACTGTGAATTTACCCACCCATTCCTTTGATATAAAGCTGGAGCAGCCCATATTTCAGTTTGTTTGGTTAGAAAGAAGAGCAGGTTGGGGGTGATGTGTGGAGGGAAATTTGAAGCCTACAGTTTCCTCTTCAGGATCAGACATGTCTCCCACATGCAACGAGTAAACTTCAGTGGTAGGGACCAGGAGGTCTGACATGGAACACCAGAAACTGGTACCTTTGCTTCATGATCCATTGCACAGTCACCTCACCTGGGAGCTTCCATAAGTCATTGAATCAGAAGAAAACTCCCAACTGCTCAGCTCCAATTTCATCCTGTGTGTTCTTGAAGTGATAGCAACAAATTAGGATTTTAAGAATATTTTTTTAGTCAATGTAGTCTCCTGTTAGGTTTCTTTCAACAGTGACAGTGTGTTTGATTCTTACCCAGTATGATTTCACAGCTAGGGGGAAAAGACACCTTGGAATGCAGTTGGACAATATTGGGGAGAACAAGTGATATTTGAGTTGTGGATAACAAGTGCAAATATTTGGCAATGACAAGATAATGAGATTGTACTGGTGGGGGTTTATTAAACACGTGGTTGCCCCTGAATCTTTCAAAAGTCAAATGCACAACATGGTTTGTAAATAACCTGGTTTATGGTTTGTAAATTAACTGCTCTGATTTGTAACTTCTGTGGGAAGAAAATATGACCTTTCTCAATGGATCAATTACTGTAACACCAAAAAATGTCTACTGTTTTTTTTAATTTATTTTAAATTCAAACAGCTGACAGTTTAATGTTTGTTTCTGACTGATGTAAATTGATACGTGGAGTTCAGAGATAACCTTATTTGAATAAAGGTGCATATTTTTAGTAAGCCTTTTTCGTTTCATTTGGTACATATCCATGAAATCTAAGCAAGTGTATTTGAAACATTCTTTACCCTCAGTTCAGAGTCAGAACACTTACAGACCTGATACTGGGGAGTTAATAGCACTCTGAATTTGAATTCCCTCTTTGACTGTCATTTTTCTCCAGCCCAGAACAAGTTTTTTAGCAAGTGGAGGAATCTTGAATTGAATCTATTCAAGATGACAAAGCCCTAAAATACTTCTTTCTGATGGTCCAGCTGCTAGAAAAGGGAACATCCTCTTGGGAGATGGAGGAAGCAGGGGGCAGAATCCCGTGTCTTTCAAGAACACCTAAGTATTTTTGCATTATATGACTGATAGGAACACAGAATCTAGAAAAGATGGGGAATTTGGATGGCATTTTTGGGCTGGCCTCCCTCTGGGATTTGCCTGTTTCAAGACTGAATTCGGTGCTGGGGTTAGAGATCTGTGGGTATGGAACACAGGCTTTCACATGTTACCCACTTGCATCAGATAAAACGGAATAGAGTCTTTAATTTTGATTTCACTTAAGCTAGAAGGAAAAGACAGATTTAAAGCAAAGGAAGTGACAACATGAGTACTTAATTAGCTGCTGGGTGTATGTTTTCATGACGCCTGGGCTTCCTGTCATCAACAAAAAAGCAGTACGTGTTTAACTGCAATGGAGCACCTCCTGAAACAGAATTCCTCTGGGGTACTGGCTATGCTGTGCCTTTTGTCACCAGTCTCTCCCGTGTTTCTCAGCAGCTTCAGTGCCAATAGGCCCAGTAACTTTTAAAGCCCTTTTTGTTATCTTTGATCTTAAATTAACATAGGAAAGCCTTTTGCTGATTGAAAGGTTGAGAGCTGGAGGGCAAGACCTCTTAGCAGTCCCTCCCCAAGCTAGTCCTTGACTTTCTCAATCCCGTGAAACCATCACTTTTAGGCACAAAATTATGTTAGAAACATTTCTAGAGGGATCAAAGCCTACACCAAAATCGGGGAAGCTTCTTTTCAGTAAAGACCAACAGCACGAAACTTAAGAGGTATCACTCCCCATACACATGGAGAAGACCCTTGAGATACAGCACTGGAAAAATCAGTGTTTGCAGAACTCCAGCCAGGAGTATTTTAAATAAAGATGAAGTAGTTGTTACTTGGAATTCATGATTCTGAGTGATAGTTTCAAAAATAAAGTTAGAGTTTCTCATGTAGTCACTAATGATCCAGGATTTCAGATTGTCCTGTGGTGGGTTTTTTGTTTGTTTGTTTGTTGTTTTGTTTTTGTTTGGGGGGTTTGTTTGTTTTAATTGTTTTTGGGGCTTTTTGGTGGTTTTTGTTTGTTTTGGGGGTTTTTTTGTGGGTTTTTGTGTTTGTCTTTTTTAATAGTAATAGGTCTGCTTTAATTAGAAAGGCTGTAATATAGATTAAGGCATTAGGCAAACTGCAATCCTCCCATCTCTCCGTTCTCATCAAAATGATGAGAGTGCTGGGAGAGCCATTTAGATAATCAACATTTCAGAATGTTGCATTAAAGTATGTGCAGTCAGTGCAGTAGGATAAATGCTCAGAACCCAAACTCATGAACTTTGGAAACCTAGCAGGTGATTTTCTTTCCCAAAATAGTCTATGACCTTGGCAGCAGCTCCTGGAAATCTTATCTGAGCATACCTGGAGAGGCTAATGATGTGACTAAAGGTTTGAAAGAAACAAGAGAAACAATCTGTACCCAAAAGCTACCTAGACTGTTTTATGGCATACAGATCCAGATTTATTAATCCTTTATCAGCAATTAGGATTACAAACAGCAGGTGTTTTATGCAGCCTCAAAGCAGGGATCTAGATGGAGGCAGCCTGGGGAAGAGCTGACAGAAGGAAAGAATAGTAGGAAGAAATGACTTGCTTTCTTTGGGGTTACTTTCTTAAAATAAAGCAATCACAGCAGTGTTGCCTCATTCATCTGCAAGATAAACCAACCATATGAAGTGGGGCTGAAGAAAAAACCACACAAAATATTTCTGTCCAGTGGGATAAAATATTCATGGATAAAAAGAAACAGGGTTTTTGCTCAATGAAGTATTCAAGTTTTCAAATCTCAAATCTGAGTGTTTTGCACTCAGTAGGCTGAATTTTGCTATTTTGCTGTGGCTATTGAGTCAAGCAGGTTTTCAATTCAGATCCAGGGATTGTTGTGATCTCTGTGAAAAACTGAGAGCAAACTTCAAGACTAAAGATGTCAAAATGCTATTGCACACTATAATTGATTTGTGTGTGTGTGTGTGTGTGTACAATTAGCTTAAAGTATTAATGGAAAAAGTAGGTAGTTGCATCTAATGATTTTTTTGGAGTAATCTGAACCATCTGCCTCTATATATTAAGGAGTTCTTTCTTTAATCCAGATTATGGCTGACAAACTGGTTTTGGCATTCACGTTTCACCAGCACTGTGCCCTTGAAGAGCTGATGTGGCTGTAGAAATTCTCTCTCTTACAACTGTTGTGTTTGAAAACATTTTTTGTTTGGTTTTCTTGTAGTTATTTTCTTATACCTCTTTTTTTTTTTTTTTTTTTTTTTTTTTTGAGAAGATGGCCTTTCTAATGAAAACTATGTTGAGCAACCAGGTAAAGAATTTGGGACTTGGAGGTGGAGGGGAAGAAAGCAAAGAAGAAAGCACTCCTTCTGACCCAGCTGCAGCTGCAGGAATGACCAGAGAGGAGTATGAGGAATATCAAAAGCAAATGGTTGAGGAGAAGTGAGTACCTGTTCCCTTATTATGAGTACGGGGCTGCTTTTGGTAACTTTGTGCAGATAAAAATAACCCAAGAAAAAGCCAAACATGCAGCTCTTCACTATTTTTTTTTAAGCAGATGAATCTTTGCTAAAAAGACTTTCCAAAATAAAAGTTACCCAACTGGAAATGATAAAATATTATGCTCCCTCTTCCTGCCCCCCTCTCCATCTTGCAACTCTCTGCTATGCTTTCCTGCTATCTCTGCAGCTTGATATGCTGGACTCACTCCTAGGTGATGTTACTTTATGTAGAAAAATTTTCCAAGGTGTCAGCAGTGCAGCATTTAATTCTCAAATGTATATGATTTGTTCTAGAACTCCATGTGGAGCACACTTCCAATATGTAATATTTTGTTGTCTACATTTGTTATGGCAGACCTGAAAAAGTCCTGGGTGTTCATTTATCTTGAGCAAAGGTTTAAGGCAGTTATTTTTTTTCTAAAATCTATTAAATAAAGTGGAACTTTAAAATCAATTAAGTCTCAGTTTTTTCTGAAAAGACAATCTTTATCACCTGCTGTGTTTATGAAAACAAGTAAAATGGAGGACTTGGCATGTGTAGGAGTTCAAACCATGCAAAATTATAAATAAAACGATTGACTTTTAAATCTCAAATGCATCTGTTCCTCTAATGGTCAATTACATAATGGTGGTGTAAATCCTTCTTGTAAGATGATTATAGGTGCCAGGTTAATGACTGATGGAACTTGAGGTATCCAGGTCTGTATTTAGCATCAGACATTTCTATCAGGAAGCCCTGAAGAGGTGTCGTTTGGTCTGGAAAAATGCACAGAATGTTTTGCTCTGCCTTTTGTCAAGGGATATTGAAAAGCGAAATGAGCATCTGCTGGCAGGGAGATACTTTCTGGAGACTGAGAAGGAGCACAGGATTCCTGGCACAGGGAAATACCTGGGAAAAGAATGATTCTCTACCGTTCAATGGGGCACGTGTCCTTTCCCTGCTGAACCGTGCTGAGGAAGCAGGGCAGGAGTTAGAGACTCGATGAGAAAAGATCATCTCAGGATGAGAAGTGGTTCTGTGTCAGAAATCACTGACACAGCAAGAGGATGTTCCTGTTTCAGGGCTCCCTGGATTCTGCCCAATGTTCAGCTGTGCAGGAGTGGAGACCAGAAAAGTAAATGTGCCTTGCTGAACTCGTGCTCAGGCAGTTCTGAACCCGTAACCAACCAGGCTTTGGGGTGTTCTCAGATTTTAGATTTGTTTGTGGGGGCTTTGTTTTTAGAGGGAGAGAAATCCAAATACTCATTTTGGAGGCAGAGGAAAAGTAATATTTCATGTTGGAAGTAGCTTTTATGTGCCAAACTACCTATACTGAAACAAGATCATTTTTGCAATAGAATTTCCATGAAAATGCTCCCGGGGAAAAAAGAAATTCAAGGGAGAGGAGGGGTGAAAGGTGAATGTTATCAAATGTTACCAAAAAACTTCGAGGAGACACATTTTGCAAATGAATAAATGTGTAATCTAAAAATAAAAATGGTGCAGACCAGTTTTTAAATCTAATGCAAACGTTTTATAAAATCACAGGTGAAGTCAGTGCTTTTCCATACAGGGAAGCTTTAGAATTCATTGCCCTTGTGAAACAATGAATGCACAAAACCCAGGAAAATTTACAGGTGACAGAAGCACAGGAAGTGTGGCCCCTTGTCATCACTTTATTGATATTGCTCCTTTTTCACCTTTGGACAAGTTACTTACCTTGGGGAATAACTCCCATGTGTAGCTTTTTGCAGCCAAGCAACTGGTCCAGTGGAAAAGATTGTTTCTATTAGCATCTTGAAGAAACATTTTTATTTTTATTTCCAGGATGGAAAGAGATGCAGCATTTGCACAGAAAAAAGCAGAGAGAGCCGTTCTGAGGGTTCACCTGAGAGAAAAGTACAGACTGCCCAAGGTAAGCCTGTAGCTCATTAGCTCAGCTAGTCCAGAAACCAAATTTCAACCCGTTTTAAGCTGCCCATTCCTTTTTCTTTTGTGATCTTGGCACTGTCAAATATTTCCAGGAAAACCAATATATTGAAAGCAAAAGCTTCTAGCAACTTATTTTGAATTTTTTTTAAATTATTGTGTTATTGTGTAAGCTTCTGCCATGGGCAGGAGAGAGGTAAAACAGGACAGAGTATTCTTTCCAGGAGTTTGGATCACACATTTGCTCCGACCTGTCACTACTGGGAAGATATTCACATATTTCATTTATACCCTCGAGAATATGTGTGGTGGTTCTTAGCAGTTTGAGAGCTTATTTGTATTACTCACCTGCCAGCACTGAGTCGTTGCCACTCATTTTCTGATCAGTATTTTCCAGTGCTTTTTGATTAATTAAAATGGAGGAAGGTAAAGAATCCATCTGCTGTAAATTTAACTGATAAAAAATGTAGTGCTTCATCCAAACAAGTCATTTAGGGACTCATCACCAACAGAAAGAGACCAGCATTTGTAGCCTCGTCTAGCCAAACTTTTCAATAAGTGTTTAAGGTGGAGTTGGGTCACCTCCCAGTGGCTGTGCCTCTCCCAGAGGGAGGCCAGGTGACAGCTGAACTCAGGTAAGATGTATTTAACCCCTAAGAGCCTGGTTCTTCTGGTGCTCTAGCTAGACAACGTACCCTGAAGGTGAGTTTAATTACAGAAAGATTAATTATGCAAAAAAATTAAGTCCAAGATTTTAAGTGATTGATTGGATTGGAGGCTTAAGTCTCTAAACACCAGCATTTTAATTAGCAGCTGAGGAGTAAAATATCATTAGGTGTTGCTTTCCTTTTGGAGGCATATGCTGAGACAGCAGCATTTATCCAGGGTCTCACCAGAGCCTTCAGCTCCAAGAGGGGCTGCTTTGGAAAGCTCCAGGATACCTGAGTGCCCAGGTCCCAGCTAAACATCAGTGGAGCTGTGTGTCTCTGGCTTTCAAATTTTCCCACTTACAGGGCGTTTTTCAGCTCAGATGATGTCCAGGTCACCTGTCCCCCTTGGCTGGGCACCTCTTAGACACACAGGTGTGCAGGTGGTGATCTAATCCATCACCAGCAGGATCTTCACTTTTCTAAGGATCTTCACTTTACTAAGCACTCTCTGGGGCCATATTTCAGCAATAACCATAGAAGGCTTGTCTCCAAGGCAGGAGACTAGCTCTAAGCCAGAAAAAAATATTGCAGGGTACCTTTTTCTGCATTTATTTCTCACTATGTAGCATTTTTTGGTTTTCACCAGCCCTTGGGAAAGCATGTTATAGCAGGAAGAAAATTAAATTGTTACATGCATGCTTTTTTGTCCCTGAAAAAGAATTCAATGCTTTGATAGAACAATCTGGCAGCAAAATGCTCTCAGACTTGTGATAATGCATTAAATATTTTGAAAATTGAAAATAATTTCAGGTAGCCTAGTATGGGCTAGAAACACTGAATATTACCAGTATCAAGCACTAGCAAGGATTTTAAGTAAAAGCATGAAATTCAGGACTAAGCAAGGCCCCCTTTGCCATGTAAAATCTAAAGCTCCGTGCTATCTGGGCCAGATTTATAAGAGAAAGTAAACCCTTAATGAACCTAATCCTATTAACAGAGTTGTCAACTTAGCTTTGTCCTCAGAAATATGTTTTTAGCCATGAGACATTTGAACTATGGACAACTTTTTCATCTTTGGCGTGTTCAGTGCATCACAGTCATACCAAACATTTAAAAATATTATATAAATACAGACATTAATATTTTAATAATAATATTGATTTCTTTAAAAACTCACCAAACTCTCCTATCCACTTGCTGCGTTTTTCCTGAACTGGGATTCAGTCGTGAATTTCTGCACGGTCTAAACACAGGGGCATGAGTTGCTGGTGTGCTGTGGAAAAATGGAGTCCCGATGCAGATGTCAGGAGGGAACAGTCTCCACTCACCAGCTCTGTGCTCCAAGCTGTGATCTCTGGATTCCCTGAGGGTGTTTCTGGGGAGGAAGGCTGCTGGCTCAGACATTTGGCTCCTCGTACCCACTTGTGAGGTGCTTGCAGCCCCTTCAGTGGCATAAGGACGATGGTGCTGCTGTGTTGCTAATTTAAGTCCCACCTGCAGGTCAAGGCAAGGTGAGCTTTGATTTTGCATCTCTGCACATCAGCATAGATAAATGTTATGGCAGGATAGGTTCAGCATAAGGAAAGCAGTACATCATGCAGCAATGCTGGAAAAGAGTTTTGTTCCCCTGTGGATTGGTCTGTGAGCTTTATCTTTTTTGTTTACAAGCAGACTTCATATAAGCAGTGTTGAACCAGCATTTGGTCTTCTTTGCTTCTTAAGTTGCACAGAAGACTATAACATCATTGTTCAGGGAATGGAAAGTGCCATTTAACAAGCAATACCAAACTTTATTTGTTCTTCTCCCTGCCTGGAGGGGATCATCTCCCTTTGATGGAGCTTAACAAAACTTCTAATGAATGAAGCTGTCTCTCTCTGAGGGAGGTTGCTTTTCCTGCGGTGGACATGGAGCTGTCTAATGTTTAATCTGTATCCTTTACCTGTGGGAGCCAGAGAAGGAATTTCTCCTGTGGTATCACATGGTGACCATCTCCTGCTTGCACTATCTTAATCCTTCTCCCTCTCTCTGATTCATCTTTTTTTGCATTTCTGTACACAGTTAATGCTACAAAATCAAGTTGGTATCCTTGAACTGGACCTTTGCACCTTAATTTGGGCAGAGGACTTTACCATCAAATGGTAACAAAGCAGATACTCAGACAGTTTTCTGCTCACACCTACCTGTGTATCATTGTACATGTAAAGAACTCTATTGCATCTATAGCAAAACAGATCTGGGACTGACTACATCAAATGCATAACCAGGGTCAAAAAATATTACCATGCACACGGACTCTATCAGCTGTGCTGTTGAATTGTCAGAATAATGTCTGACCCAGTTTTGGCCTGGGCACTCTCCCAAGCAGTTCCCAGGGCCAGTTTGGGAGTGTAGGACAGGCATTCCCAATGGGCTGCTAGATGGGACCACCCTGTTTGGTAGGGTGACAGAGTTCAATGGCATCCCAAAGGATTTTTCCAGGCCAGCTGGCCTTGGGGCAAGACTAGTGCCAGGCACATTTAATTTAGCAGAATAGATGTTGCTTCTGCGTTCACTTTTCCATTTCAAATAAAAGTAAACAAGTATCAAATGTTCAAATTTTAGAAGGAAGAGAAGAGGCCATACATGTATCATGTGCTTCTTTGCTTCTTGTTGAGCAACCCCCTTTGGGTTTATTTTAGGTCTATCAAAGCTAAATGCCAAGTGGGTAGAGACAGGTGGCTTGGGCAGGACTGTACTGGTTTAGACTCTATCTCAGTACATGCTTTTTTGGTCAGAGAACACTTTGAAGCCCCAAACTGTTGCACATCACATCTCAGACTTCCATAGGACAGTGGGCTTTGGTGCAAGAACATGCCAGACAATTGTTCACATTGCCAATCACTACAGTAGCATGCAGTGACGGTTCCTTACATTAGAAATCATTCTAAAGGAAAAAACGTGTAACTGTCTGATATGGGGCACTTTTTCAGTAGTTAACATTTTTTATCATCCTCTACTGCTACTGGTGAGGATTTCAAAAGGGCTAACTCCTCTAATAGCCATCAGTTGTGAATAAAAGCTTAACACATTTTTTTCTATTACTCAATCAATAAAAAAATACCTTTTCTGCTTGGGAGATTGTTTCTAGCTCCCACAGATCTGACTGCAGCAACTCTTAACACAAAAGGTGAAGAGATGTCCTCACCCATTCTATCCACATAGCAGTAACAATCCTGCTAGAGCTCTCCACAGTTTCACAGGAGATATGGGGAAAAATCAGATTAAAGGAAAGTGCAAATGTAAAGTGTGGAAATATGGAACTGTAAATAGTGGTTATGCAGCCGACCACCCCCAACCTGCCTGTTCTTGCTAAGGCCTGCAGCAACAGACATTGCTCATATATGTCCTTGCATTCATTTATCCTTTCATTCATGCAAAACCCAGACCCCTCACTCTAAAAAACACCTCCTGCTGATAGCATTGCTGCTTATTCATATCAGGCCTTTGCTGCTGTCATGCTTAATTTTGGAGATGTAATGAGGCATTAATGCTTATCTTTGATGTGTGAACTGTGTCAAAATATCCTGTTCTTCTGAGCTCTGGATCCATCAGAATCCACCAGAAAATGTGAACAAAATCACCATTGTTTGAAAAATTGACATAATCCCACTGATGGAGTGTTTCAGTGGGCAGACAGGAAGCAAGTGTGTGTAGTGCTTACTGCATCTCAGCCCTTTTAATTGCTTAACCAGTTTCTTCTCCTGTCTCCTTTTGCTTTCTCAGACTCACAACCAACCTCCCTCCTCTTTTGTTGCCCAAGTCCTCCTATTACCCCACTTACCAGCACTGCAGCCCCTGCTCTTCATCACAACTCAGAGAGGCCAACCAAAGACCTAGATAGAGTTTTAGACATAGTTTGGGAAGAGGGGGACTCTTTTTCCAGTAGTTCATTCTGCATCTTTTTTCCAGAAGGCTTCAGTTTAGTGCTGAATTAGTGCAATTGAACAAGGAAATGGTACCACATGTTTTCTAAAGCTCTTGTTTCATTGACCAGAAGCTGACAGGCACAGTATAGCAGCTGACAGGCTCAATAGTGTCCTGCAGCATGGTTTTGGGGGATACAAATAACTTGGAATGGAATTCCTGCACTCTCAGCATGGCAAAGATTTCTAAAATGGCAAGTGACATTGAAGGCTTCGGTTTTGACAGTGTTGAAGCCCCTCAAAGAAATGTAATTGACATTGCCAAAAAAAATCTTAAAATTTTCATGGAGACTGATTGAGGCCCTGAATTCACAAGTTGCACCCAAAAAAATTGACTGAAATATCTATGCATCTGTTTTGGCTCTCCCTAAAAACCAAAAAATAGAACAAAACAAGAGGCTCATTGGTAGAGCCTGAGAGAGCAGAAATACTCTCATCTACTGGTTTTGTTTCCTGCTTTAGAGTGAATTGGATGAGAATCAAATACAGATGGCTGGAGATGATGTGGGGTTGCCAGAAGACCTTCAGAAGATGGTGGCAGAAGATCAGGAGGAGGAAGAGGACAAGGACTCTATCCTGGGCCAGCTGCAGAACATCCAGAATATGGACATGGATGCCATCAAAGAAAAGGCACAAGCCACCTTCACTGAGATGAAACAGGCAGCTGAGCAGAAATGTTCTGTGATGTAGAAGAGCCACCACTGCCCAAGGGCTGTAACCTCAGTCTTGTGTTGCTGGGGCTGCAGAGGGAGAGCATGTAGCTCTATAGCATTCAGTGTAAATATAGAACCATGATGAGAGAGAGACTTAAAACCCTGAGAGGAAAGTAAAACTTTACCTGCTGGGACTGCCTAGAAGGAAGTTAGAACTGATCCTCAGTTTTGAACATAACTTTTTTCCCCCATGGAAAAAAATATTTAGAATAAGTTAATACTGGGGAAAAAATGTGCCTTTTTCCATTTTTTCCACATGATTGAAATGCTATTAAATGTGTATGTTTGAACAAAATTGTACTTCTGATACATGACAGATGGTAACTGCTCAGACAGTATAAACTGGACAGATAGAGGTAACTGCTCATTTAATCCTGCTTTCAGAAATAAACATGTATATTTCTTATAAAAACATGTGTCTTTCAAACATCTTGAGGTAAACACAGTATTCAGATATTGACAGCATATTTGCAGCAAACCCTTGATTTTTAAAATCATCTCTACAGTAAGTGTAGCAAAAGACAAAAAATGAAGTATGTAACTCAACAGCTTGGGTCAAGAATGTCATATACACTGAGTGGGCACTTGTAGGAAAAGTAGGGCTTGGTGGCTCTCAGTGAGCCCTGCTCTGGAGCAGTGCAGGTTTCTCCAGTCTGCTTTTATTTCTCTCAAAGATACTTCAAACATCAAGGGACAGCAGTGACCCTCTTCTTGTCCTCTTGTCTTCTCTGTGTGCCAAATTCTGAGGCTTGGGGTACCAGCACTAAGCTAAAAGCAGCTCCCCACGCTGATTCTGGGAGTTGTCTCCATCGAAGGCTAAACATGGAAAGTTATGCCAGGGTAGGGCACCTAAACCTGAGGAAAGGCATAGCTCTCACTAATGTTAAATCTGCCTGGGTCCGTGGGACATGCAGGCTGCTACTCACAAGGAATTTTATGAAATGAATGGCTTTGTAATTTCTCCAAGAGCTAGCCTGGGAATTAAATTTGGAAATGAATACATGTAGCACTTTCCTACAGGTTTATAAGTCTCTTTCTCTCTCTCTCGTTCTGTCTACAGCCAATCAAGTAAAAATATTAATTTTAAATTAACAAATGCACTAAGTATGATTTATCTCCTTTCTTTTTCTTTCCTTCCTTGCTTGCTTCTTCCTTCCTTTTCTCTTTGTCTTTTCTCTCTTTTTCCCCCCTTTTCCTCCTCTCCTCTCCTCTCCTCTCCTCTCCTCTCCTCTCCTCTCCTCTCCT